TGAATGTAAGACTTCGACTGGAATAAATAGCCATCAGGCACTGTGAAATTTATGCATGTTTCAACAATTTCAGAATTAAACTCGTAGCTTTCATTGAAACCATGAATAATGCCTTGTTTATAATTGTATTGGCAGAACACTGGGTCGGGTCTATTGTTGTTGTCATCATTGTATGAATATGGGCCAATTGCATTTGATAAATTAGCATAACCAGCAAATGCATAATCCAATGTGTTGTAGAAATCATCTATTTTATAAACAGCAAGTGGCCCTGCACCTGGTGGATAGGCATTTATCTCACGTGTTGAGTCCCAGCCGAGAAGAAAGAGGTGCGAGAAGCTGATCCGATTGTCCCAAGTATAATTAACGTGATTGTATCTGTTATGCGCGAAAAGACACAATTGAAATGTAACCAAAACAATTTTTATGACTTGCACCACAAACTTATAAGGAAACTTGCGTTTTGCCTGCCATTTCTCGATAGGGTTCATAAAGAAGAATTGTAGCTTTCGTCGCATTTTTTCCTCCATTTGATGAAGGTCGGCAGAAGTTGTTGCGCGTGACGAATACCCTTGACTATTCTCTGGATTACCTTGATTTCTTTCCAACACTTTTTGCTCGTGTTCCTCTTCCGAACAGGTATTATCTTCTTGCGAAGACTGCATGCTATCCAATAATATTGTTTCTAGTAAAATGGTGTGTAATACTACAAGCAGAAATAAACAAGAATAAGACTTTTTTCAATGACTAACAAGAAATTTACAGCATTTTACAGAACATAATAGTCGGTATTTTGTAGATGCCTTATAGAAATTAAAATACTTGAGAATTGTGTTTACTGGAATACTTCTTTGTTAAAATAAAACAAGATTGCCTTTACCTTCGCCTTTTTGCTTTTGATTTGACAAGTTACGTAGGTAGGTATTTATTTATGTCTCTTCTTGCAAAATGTCAACCAGCGATCAACACAAGGTAAATACGACATGATTCGATACACCAATTCGAGATCGATATGTGGTGGTTTAGTTAAAAATTGATCTTCCACACTACTTTCTTAACGCTTTTCTTGTGTATTTACCGATTTTTCCATACACAGTAAATTGTACTTCCCGAGATTATTGTACGCTAGATAAAAACACGTGGTGATTGGTAGTGCTAATGTTAACAGACCGGAGTGCCGAGTACTCGATGATAGATGAATACTGTAGTGTTAAGTGTACTATTCGGCTGATACCGATTACTTAAATAATTTGTATGAAAAAAAGGTAAAATAGGCATTTAAATTCCTATAACACGTTTCAAATTAAAATTACACTTTTTTCATAATCAATACCTAACTGTGAAAACTCTGTTTCTGATTGTTTTTAGAGACTAAAAACAATCAGAGACAGAAACTTTGCTACTAACATCTTAACATCAGGCCTACTAACTAACTTGCTTGGCACCTTCTCACATAAAAGAAAATAAAAACAATATATACATAAACATATATCAGAATAAAGCATTTCATTTTTATAATGTTTTTAGAGAACGGCGTAGAGGAACTTAAGATGAAATTTAATATTGGTAGAAATATAACAGTTCTAACGTTTTTGAACCTTGATCCTAATATTTTAACTAAGTGTTACTGAACTTGAATATTAACAACTATTATAACAACAAGCAGAACTATTGGTTATATCACCGTCCGGGAACGCAGCCGAAATCCATGTGACCGCTGCTCCATGCGACCATGTACCCCTTGGCTCGAGTAGATAACGTCATATCCGGTAATGCAGTGCTGCCAGCGCCAACATTCGGCCGTCCTGCATCACGCCTTCGTCCTCGAATGGCATTGTAGTACAAGTAACTTTCATAAAATTAACACCTTACACTGTGGCTTATCTCCCTCAACTGGGATGCATATTGCCACGTTCAGAACACCTTACACTGTGGCTTATCCCTCTCGACTGGGATGCATATCACCACGTTCAAAACACTTACCCTGTGGCTTCTCCCTCACAACTGGGATGCATATCGCCACGTTCAGAGCACCTTTCCCTGTGGCTTATCCCTAACAACTGGGATGCAGATCGCTACGTTCAGAGCACCTTTCCCTGTGGCTTATCCCTCACAACTGGGATGCAGATCGCCACGTTCCAAACACTTACCCTGTGGCTTATCCTTCACAACTGGGATGCATATCGCCACGTTCAAAACACCCTATGGCTTATCCCTCACAACTGAGATGCATATCGCCACGTTCAGAACACCTTACCCCGTGGCTTATCCCTCACAACTGGGATGCATATCGCCACGTTCAAAACACCCTATGGCTTATCCCTCACAACTGAGATGCATATCGCCACGTTCAGAACACCTTACCCCGTGGCTTATCCCTCACAACTGGGATGCATATCGCCACGTTCAGAACACCTTAACCTGTGGCTTCTCCCTCACAACTGGGATGCATATCGCCACGTTCAGAATACCTTACCCTGTGGCTTATCCCTCACAACTGGGATGCATATCGCCACATTCACAGTTTTTATCGATTTATCAACTTAGGTAGCTTTACCGGTTAGACCCGTCGTGTATTGCTACGTTGTCGAAGTACCAGTGATGGTGTTTACAATGAATATCCATCGCCAGTTCATGCCTTAAATTTTCCAACTACTAAAATGTTCGGTAGCTTAACCGGGTAAACGAATTGTGTATAGCTATTTAACATTTTTTTTCAAATATGTTAAGTAATTAATAAACAGGAAGGTACTCACCAAAACTTTCGTTACATTTAACTAAAAGTTTTTATCACCATTACGTATAGTAAGTATAAAACACACTGTTTTATTTGATGAGGGTAGGTGAAGGAATAGGAGAAAATATGTGGCCGATTGCTTGAACAGCCAAACGCGAGGTTTCATATTGAATCCCACTTCTGATATAAGAGTTCTAACGTTTTTACCTTGATCCTAATATTTTAACTATTACTGAATTTGAATATTAACAACTATTATAACAACAAGCAGAACTATTGGTTATAAAAATACTAATGAAGCTGCGCCCACGACGCTCTAGCCACTGAGCTAATCGGAAGGTATGTTTTCATACCCACTGTCGAAAATCTTTCTAATTATTGCATTTTAAGTGCGCCATTTAGTGTTAAATCTTAACTTTTTCATATTAATGTATAATGAAAAATCTATTTGAAAACTACAGATGTCAAAGAAGTCTTAGAGTCAGATATCATAGAAGTAACCAGGCCCACTTTTTTATAGGTTGTCAATGCCTGTACAAACCCTGGATTATGGTAGGATTTTGTACTATATTTACAGTATTTGTTTTACTATAATTTCATTATTCATACTATATACTATTCATATCTAAGGATAGTACTGAAATGTACTATATTTTCGTTAGTATATATAAATGACCAATCTAAAAGTCAATCAAACATTAAAAAAGGTTTATTAGGTTTTAATATTGTTTTACAACAACTCAGTTTTACAAACGTTTACGGACGTTTTCGGGACTTCGTTGAAATGTATACTATTGACCGGTGATACATATTACATACAAAATCACCAGTCGAAAGTGTTCGTATTTTCAAAAAAACAACACACATTGACACGTTTCGTTCGAATGGTACAAAAATGTTAGTTACGCTATATTATATATTATTATTAAAGCAATAAGAAAAAAGAGGATGGCAGGTGTTCGTCACTTTAGCTTTAAATCTAAAGATGCATCCATCTTTCTCGTACCCGTATTTAACTTATTTGCTTTTTTTTCTTTGTTCATAACTATATCTATGCTGGCTTCACTTCGAGCGTGTTGGGATAAAATTTTCTTAGTAATTTTCTCGATTAATAATTTTTACTTTGTTTTTTTTACTTACTTTTTTTATTTTCTCGATTAATAATTTTATCAAAAACAAAATACAAAAATGGGAGTGAACTTAGATATGAATAATGTCTTTTATGTCTAAGTACTATACATTTACTACATTTTATATAATTTGTTGTCTGGCCGTATAAATTATTTCTAAGGAATTTATAGGGTACAAAATAATATTTGGGGTGGACCACCCTTGGCATTTAGGGGGCTGACTAATAGATGTTGAAATTCTCGACCCTGGCCGATATGCATACAAAACTTCACGAAAATCGGTCGAGCCGTTTCGGAGGAGTTCAATTACTAACACCGTGAAACGAGAATTTTGTATATTAGATATACATATTATACTGTTACATTTATCAATCAAATCGAGTCTGTAGACATTTTGAAAAAGTATCGTAAATTATTGAGTGAAAAATATCGATATATCGTCAGCTTTCGCATGATTTATATAGATATACATCTACAAAATTTGTAAAAAAGGATACCTATAGAAAATAGTAGAAAATATTTTTTTTAAAGTCAACGATACGCGAAGAACACACAAAGAGTATACTAGTAACATTAAAAACACGAAACCAAAGTTGGGTTAAAAATATCGCCGCTATATATCGATAATTGTATGGTAAAATGTCCACATTTTTATGTATCGGTATTTTTGCCCATGCCTACTTTCTCATGATGATCTGTGCCTATCTGTGCAAGTGTCGTACAACATACGTATTAAGAATTTTCATGAAATGAAATTATAATTTCTTTGTAAACCACAAACTCAACAAGTTATTATTATACATTGATGATATCGTCTTTAATTGTTCTACATCAATAACCAGGCAATGGCTTTAACCGTGGATAAACTTTTTCACACACATCGGTAAATCACCTGTGTTTATATTTTGAGGGAAAGTTCTAAGAAAAGTTTTATCTATTATGTATCATTTCATTGTTTTTTTTTTCATTAATCTAAAATTTATCCTTAATATTTCAGATTCTCTGGTGATAATGCTTTGCAATTATTTTTATATATGCCGTTTGGTATACTTTTGATGGGGTTAAGAATTATCCTTGCATTAATATTATGGATTGCTTGCATTATTCTCCCTGATAAATCAGGTGTACGACAGATGCTGTCCACGCTAGCCTGCTGGACATTTGGTAAAATAATCGCTTTTTAAATCATACTATATAATAATTATCTGCATAATCATATAATGTAATAATTATCTGCATTTCATTAACACTTAGTTTTTAATATACTCATAATCTTTAAAGATAGTTATTAGGTCATATTAGGAATAACTTATGTATAATTATTTGTCTAGCTTATTATTAGTCATTGTTTTTATCAGATGAATATCTTTCTACTTAGAACAAAAAAATATTTAATATACATTTTGAACCTTTTAAGCTATTTACATTTTTTTAAGTTAAACTAAATTGAGTAAAACAGTAAGTGACTTTGCTTTAGATTATGGTAGAACGATTTTCGTGATAATTTTAATTTTAATAGGTAGGTAATAAGTGATTGAAGTAAACACTAGAAGGATTTTTTGTGGAAATTCATAGTTTTCGAGATATTAATTTTTTAAGCTTTATAGGTTAACTACTAAGAATCGTTTAGAACAGTATTGTTTCGTATTTCGGCCCAAAAGATTTACACAATTACATTCTAAAACATTAGAAAGAGACAACTTGATGATTATATCATCTTTTAACACATGTTATTTCAGACTGCAAAATTGTTTTTGGCTTATGGTAAATCTTTGTCTTTAAAAAAAAGCAAACTGAAATAGAAAATATAACAGAGGTAAATTATATTTTAATGGTCACCACATCCCTAAATGTACTAAAGCAATACCCTCCAAACCATATTATCCAGGGTTATTTTACTTGTATAAAGGAAATTTAAATAAACTGTTCTACTGTGGATTCCAAACAATAGAGTTGTTTATGTCAACCACAATATATATTTTAAAAATGTTTGGTACAATGATTTCTTTTTCACTTGATTATTTGGACAATTAGCACTTTGGTTGTGAATAAAATATGGCATGATCAATACATTATTTAAATTGCAGACATTTATGTAATTAGTTATACCTTGTATGTTAAGCAATAACAAAATGCCTTGAAATATATGTTCAATATAAAAATATGTTACAACATTCAAACGGATTTGATTCTAATAATGATCTATAATTTTAATTTTTTTTTGTATTCAATTAAAATACTTTTTCTTTTTTGCTTTCTAGGTGTATATGTTAAATTGAAGGGCACAAGAGATCCCCGTTCCAGTGTTTTGGTAGCAAACTATGTGTCGTGTCTAGATTCACTTGCCGCTGCACATGTTCTCGGAACTATAAGCGTAAGCTAACAAACATATACCTAATGCAATTATTCTATATATTTCTAAGTAATATGTTTGTGTTTTTTTATTACATACTTTTTGATATTAGTCTTATAATTCAAAACTGATTGATTGGATGTAAATATACTGTAGGAAGATTCTGAATATCTTTCATATTGTACAGAACTTGCAATTGCAATAAAAAAGTAATAAGAAGCGTGTTTTAAACTGAATGGATTATTATTGAATATACTTCACATATAGGATTTGTTGCTTACATCAGAGGAAATCTGCATTTTAGTCATTTGATGCATTAATGTCCTCATTACTTTAAATATTATATTAGCATTATTTAAATATGACTGTTAAATTACAGCTAAGAAGATGGAAACTGCCACCATTTTTTGCTTCCACTTTGGGTATTAGGAATGCAGCACAGTTTGTTAGGAAGTAAGTATTTATCAATAGAGTCACAAGCTTAATACAGACATTTGTTGCATACTAAATATTAATAATTGTATAACATTGTTAAAAATCTCGGTCATATTTAATTACACATTTTTTTAAGATATATAATTCCTGAAATATCAGCTTTTCTTAAAAAGAAATTGTCAATATTTTCTGACTTTATTTTTTGCTGCATAGTCTTGATTGATAAGATACTTATAAGATACTTGATAAGATTTTTTATCTTTAATTTTATTTTTAGTGCTATTCTCTACCCTCAAAATGAAACTTACTTTTATTACAAACAATTGTTCTGGTACTAAAACAATCATGATATTATTAAAAAATTAAATTTTAATGTAAAGTTTAAGTAGAATTGGACAATTTACAGGCAACACTTTGCTGACAGTCCCACCAAGCCAATATTGCTGCAGCCTGAAGGAGGACCCACTAATGGCAAAGCTTTGCTTAAGTTCACAGACTGGGCTTTTCCAATTGCTAACCGGATACAGCCGGTTGCTATAAGTGAGTAAAACAGTATATACTTTTATTGTTGACTTCAAATTTAGTTAGATTTGCAACATAAAACGAATATTTATATTGACATGACTCAATCTTGTTTGTTCCTATGTACTTATTCCCTTTCAAGCCTTACTGTGAGTTTAGACTAATTTAGTTTTTACACATTTTGTTTTTTGTGTGGAAGGATTGTGTAGTACGTTCCAACAACCACTGTGACCAAGAAAGATTAATTGTAGTCTTCCTTTCGAAAACATTTACCCCTTACTGTATGATAACATTATTACATACATAAATTTCACATAGACAAACACCCAGATTTGGCACAATTGTCTGTGGGTCACATAAATATGTGTCCCATGTGGGAATCGAACACACGTCCCCCACGCCGAAGCCAATCCTTGGCAACTGCGCCGGAGTCGTCACAGAGTTGTGGTAGGGCTAGTCGACAAACAGTCTCCGCTGTTGCACAAATGGGCAGGTATGACCGAGTAAGCATCACAATCTCACGGATAACCGGCGTGAAGTGCAACTGTTACATTTCTGCGTTTCTTTTGGTGGGTGTGACAGACGGGGCGCTCTTTGTTAAAAGGTGGCAACATCTGCAACCGTATGGGTGTTGCAAATTTCAACGGGCGGCGGTTGTCACTCGGCAGCGGGTGAACTGCCAGCTCGCTCGCCACATTCTCATTTTTAACCGACTTCAAAAAGAGGAGGTTCTCAATTCAGCTGTATTTTATTTAATGTTTGTTACCTCAGAACTTTCAACTGAGTGAAACGATTTTGATGATTCCTCTTTTATTTGAAAGCCGGTGCTTCCCATGTGGTCCCATATTAATTTCATTGCTATTGGACCTTAGGCTCCGGAGATACTTGGGGAACGTCTGAAAATCAACTATAAAATTAATACAGAGCGAGATATTTAAAATTTTGTTTCGTTTTTCGTTAGAAAAAAACATGGTTATTTTAAAATATAAAATAAAATATAAAGTGTAATTTAAAACGTAGATGCATACGAGTCTTGAAACGTGAAATAAACTATGATTATTATAAATGAGCAGTAACAAAAAGCCGTGAAGCGTCTCGACGGGCGGCGGTTGTCACCCGACACCGGGTGGGGTCTCCCGCTCTTTCGAGCTGGCGGTTCACCCGATGTTAAGTAATGATGGGCATGCGCCCATGGATATTTGCAAAACCCGTAGGGTTGCAGATGCGTTGCCACCTCTTAATAAAGTGGGGCCCGGCTACCTCATTCACCAGACGAAACGCATAAGTGCAACACTTCTACTTTACGCCGGTCTTCTGCGAGGTCGTGGTACTAACACGGACGGACCTGCCCATTCGTGCAACACCGTTGCGTGGCCCTGCCGCCGTAACCACCACTTTGCCACCTTCTCACGTGTGCCGTAACAAAAAGCCGTGGGGTCGCCCGCTCTCCTCCCATCTGCCGCCTTCTCACGAGAACTGTAACAAAAAGCCGTGGGGCCGCCCGCTCTCCACCACTTTGCCGCCATCTCTCGAGAACTGTAACAAAAAGCCGTGGGGTCGCCCGCTCTCCACCCCTCTGCCGCCTTCTCACGAGAACTGTAACAAAAAGCCGTGGGGCCGCCCGCTCTCCACTCCTCTGCCGCCATCTCTCGAGAACTGTAACAAAAAGCCGTGGGGCCGCCCGCTCTCCACCCCTCTGCCGCCGTCTCACGAGAACTGTAACAAAAAGCCGTGGGGCCGCCCGCTCCCCACCCCTCTGCCGCCATCTCACGAGAACTGTAACAAAAAGCCGTGGGGCCGCCCGCTCTCCACCCCTCTGCCGCCATCTCACGAGAACTGTAACAAAAAGCGGTGGAGCGGCCTCTCGGGCTGCGCGTGGGCGTCCGCGGCGGGCGCGCGGGGCGCGAGGGGTTCCCGTGGGGCGACGCGCTGTGGTTCCTGTGCGCGCCCGCCACCGCCTTCTCGCTGCGCCTGCTGCCGCCGCTCGAGCGCGCCGACGACGACGAGGCGGCGTTCGCGGCGCGGCTCGCCGGCGCCATCGCCGACGCCCTCCAGGTGCTCCAAGTTTTTTTCATTGAAGGTGCTTTGGGCAACGGGTGTGTGGAGCTTTAAAGCCCGCCAAGTGCACACAACCTCCCTCGGCTGCATTTAGTTTTTCTTCTAAGTTAAGGTGTGGATGTCTGCAGCCTTGCCCTCAGATCCCTCGCCGATGCTCTCCCTCCCCTCCTTTAGTTTTTATTTTAAGGTGTTTTAGGCAACTGGCTTCGAAGTTTACAGCCGTGCCCTCGGATCCCCCGCAGACGCCCTCCAGGTGCTTTTCTGTCCCCCTTAAGGTTTTTTTTTAATTTAAGGTGTTTAAACTCGTAAGAATTTTTAATTTAAAGTGTTTTAGGCAACTGGTGTGGATGTCGGCAGCCGTGCCCTCTAAACCCTCGCCGATGCTCTCCCTCCCGTCCTTTAAGTTTTTTTTTATTTAAGGTGTTTTAGGCAACTGGCTTCGAAGTTTACAGTCGTACCCTTTTACAGTCGTCCCTCGTCGACGCCCTCCAGCTTCCACTGATGTGTCTAATTTACAGCACTCTACTTGGAAGCTGGGGCAGTTCTCTGAACAAGCTACCAATAAAATGCTGCGCGTCTCTAATTTATTGGAGATAACTTAGAATATGACAACTTGTTGAGAAAGAACGAAGAGATTGTCGCCGCTGTGGGAATCGAACCCATGTCTCGGCATTCGCGGCCTGACGCTTTAACCACTAAGTTAAACGGCTGATTGCCACACCGACAAAAATTTTAACGTCTTTGATCTACATTGTTTTTTAGCATTTGAAGCAACGCTTGGTGCATCTATTATTATAGCCTTTCCTGCATACAAACAATTTCGAATATCGTTGTAAAACGATAACTTCGAACGAGAGATGTCGCCATTGATTTTTAGAAATTTAAAGCTTTTTATCTTAATAAAAAATAAAAATCTTAAGTGCAGAGATTAGCACTATAAAAAACTTTAAATTTCTAACTTCGAATAATTAACGCTGATTGCTCATGGTCAGCGCGCTTGTTTAATTAAATATGATCGAGCAACCTGAGGTGCCGGCATCAATGAAATTGTTAATTACAAATTTTAAGTGCTGACTTATCACGTGCTCAGAAACCTGCATATTTTTAAAATTCCGCCAATCCGCAGTGGGGTAGCGCGGTGAACCTAGTCCTAATACCCCTGTATGAAGCAGTTTGCCCAGCAGTGGGACATATAGTATTCGCTGTAGCTTTACCTGTTTCTTTTTAATATTTTTAATGCGGTGTGTCAGATCGAGGCTACGGAGTTCCGTTGGGAGGAGGTGGCAGGGGCGAGGCGGGCGGGGGCGGGGAGGGGCCAGGGGGCGGCGGGGGCGGTGGCGAGGGGCGCCGAGCTGGCGCGCATGGCGCGGCAGGTGCGCGAGGTGCTGCCCGCGGTGCCCGAGAGGGACGTGCTGAGGGACCTGGGTGAGGACGCGAGTTGTAGGAATTACTGGACCTAGTCGGGGTCGGACGCGAGTGCTAGGGCCTAGTGGACCTAATCGGGGTCGAACACGAGTTGTAGGAATTACTGGACCTAGTCGGGGTCGAACGCGAGTTGTAGGAATTACTGGACCTAGTCGGGGTCGAACGCGAGTTGTAGGAATTACTGGACCTAGTGTAGGAATTACTGGACCTAGTCGGGGTCGAACGCGAGTTGTAGGAATTACCTAGTGGACCTAGTCTTGTGTATAAGGAAAAGAAAAGTAAGAACCTATACAAGTCTCATTGATGGGCAAAGTCCATCACGCAAGAGTTTGTGGTTGACCTGTTGTTAAGCTGTAATTACCGCCCATGGACGTTTGCAACACCCGTAGGGTGAAGATGCGTTGTCACCTTTTAAGTAAAGTAGGCCCCGGCCGACTAAACGCAGGAGTATGACACTTGCCGTTCACGCCGGTCTTCTGTGAGATCGTGGTACTTACAGCCTGTTCGCGGTGGACCCTACAAAATGAATGAAACTCGTCTTCCCAACCGACCGCTTCCCCCTCAGCGAGGACCCGCAGCGTGGACGTGACGATCAGCAACTTCCTGGAGGGAGTGACGCCATACCGGCCGGAGCCGGTGGCGGAGCCCCGAGCGGGCCCCTCCAGGGCGGAGCCTTCGCCCCCGCACTTCCCGCGCAGCGCACGCGAGAGGCAGCTCAGCTTCCAGGAGCGGAAGGCGCAGATGGTGGCCGAGGCGAGGAGGCGCTACGTCCACAAACACGGCCTGGACGTGGCCCTCTCCTGCTGAGACCACCCCAGCGAAACACCCACGACCGATTCGAGACGATCCAATTGTGATGCGGGATTGCGTTTTGATTTATTCTCGACTCGACGGTCGCAGTGAAGTTTAGTCGTCGATGAGATTTCTATTTTTGTATTGCCCGGTGATGATACACTTTGAAGATGTCGCTGTAGATACAAATCCGTCTGGCGTCCGACGAGACTTAGTGTGCAGTGAAATTTTAGCCCCGTTAGCGCGAGCCGGGACGGTGTTCGATCGAAATTAATTTAAAATAATGCCAATTCGTCGTAAATATTGTCTTAGTACACGTTGTACGAACAAGTTGTGAAAACTGATGCTTTGAGGACAGTTAAAAGGGGAGATTTATAGTGGTTGCGGTTTGGTAAATTAATATAGTGCCTAAAGATATTTGACTAAATTCCTATAGATATTGTTACGCTCCCTAATCATGTTGAATTTTCAAAAAAATCATTGTTCTTAAATATATCATTTCCATTATTACATTAAACATTTTAGGGAAGTCACAGTCAAACTTTTTTGTTTCTTAAAAATATTTTGCACACATGTAATATTATCAATTCATTTAAATGATTATTTAGATCTCACATTAACATATTAACGTCGTTATTTAAATCTAAATTTTTTTTTAAGTTAGAAAACAACACTAAACAGTTCCAAAATTCAATCTAAATTTAAAATGTAAATGTATTAATAAATACCTTAGAATAGGATTTTGTTCCTACTATGTTTTATAAACAGATTTTAAATCGGGCGGTCGATTATTGTATTCGTCTCAAAGCAAAACACTGGCCACTGAAGAATAAAAAATGAAATATGTATTTAGAAAATCAAATATGTATTTTTCTAGCAATGTTAAAATATAAAAGTATTTTTACAATTGATTTTTGATTTAATGAATGTTTATAAAAGTATGTGCACAATACCATATAGAACTAGCATTTTAGACACTTTTACTTAGTTAAATGAAAAAAAGGACAATATTTATACGGTTATTTATTGCCCTCGCATGGTTAATTATTTAAATATAACATATATGAAAGTAAACTAAAGGATTGCTTAAACATATATACTTCCATAAGTTAATTTTGATAGAGTTCTCGCTAAAAATAAGTTAATTCGTCATGTCAATTAAGTTGTAGAATATTTTCCTTAAGAAACTACATGTTCATTTTTAAATATGATTATATTAGTTTGTATAAACTGTGCGATAAATATTGCAGAACGATCTTTTGAAATAGAGAATTGGTCTATTTCAGTTCCGTAGAGCTATATCTGTCGCATACTACCTATGTGAGGTTTTGAGTCGTCGAACAAGTGTGCGACAGAGATAACTCTACGAAATCGAAATTTGCCGATTGTCTCTTTCCAAAGGTCAATTCGCATTCAATGTGCAATATTTATCGCCGAATCCATAGGATTAGGAACAGATATATATAGGCGGTAAATAATAAAAAATTCCCATACGATAGTATGCTAGCCAATATCTACCTTGGCGACTTCTTCCAGTAGTAGTTAGTACAGTGCCAAGTATAACAGTGAATATGATTTTAAACTTGTTTTATAACTGGGGTGTGCAATCAAAAATTAACGAGACATGGTGTGTATAAGCGAATTTTGGGCTACAATTTTGTCGGTCACCTGTTCCAGTTAATGTTACTCAATTGCATTAAAATACTAATTTATCTCTTTTTTGTGGACACAATATTTACATAATATGTCACTACCCCAACGGAGACATGTTTAATAACACAATATGTTGAAATCCGTCAAAAGGTTTATGTGGAACGAGCCAAAGTGTTATACATGCATATGCTTAAAATATTACCCCCTTGTCAGTCGGGTAGTAAGTTATGATGAAATTTTTTAATTATTATACTTTTTTATAAGGTACAGAAATTTAGAGGTAAAAATTTTTGTCGACATGCGTTACTTTTTTTTTCATCTTCGCTTGTAATTTGAAGTCACTGTACATAACTAATGGCAGTAGTAAAGTTAATGTCATATAAATTGTCATTTTCTGAATGTTTAGTATGCTGCTATATATCTGTTGGTATTTTGTTGTTTTTACCATTAAGATTGTTAATCCCTTCAAATTGAATAAAGAATTGTTTTGAAACATTGTGTATTTATTTTATTACGTAATATTTATAAATTTTTGTCAAATTTTAATGCCCACAAGTTTTATCATTACCCTTAATATCTAGTCGACAGCTGTTTATGATTATGTAGTTTTTTGCTATACAAAAACGGAGGAGACTATTAAAATTACATAATTCTTTATTCTTCTTTATTTGTTTATGTTTTCTCGTTTATTAGAAAACGTATGAAAGAAATTAGCAAATTCGGTATAACATCACTCATATCTCTTAGATTTCTTATTACTTTTACTTTTATGTAATAGTAGTTATTTTATAATGGATAATTTCTATGTAGCGTTATGAAAACTGATGCGAAATATAACAAAGTAACTTGATACGGTTGTTTTTTTTCAAATATGATCGGAGGAAGGGATCTATTGCAATCAATAAATTCGCATGATTTTGTTGAGGTGGCGACTGTTTTTACTTCATTCGCTTAATACACAAATAACATTATCGTACGATTCTTGTAAAGCGGATGTCACACTTGCATATGACCTGCAGAGATGGTCTATAAATTCCACATAGTATAGTAGTCGCATAGCAGTTATAGACCGAGGCGGTGCGGTGTGCGTTTGGGGGTGGTGAGTCCCGGCGTGGCGATCTCCTGCTTCACAGGCACATCTTCTTCCCGCTTCTTCTTCTCTTCTGCCATCTTCTGCTCCGCCTCCTTCATCTCCTCCTCCATCCTCTGCAAGTGCACCGCCGCTTCTTTCTTCTTGTCCCGGTTCGATCTGTTTCCCAATTTCAGGCGTTTCGTATTTTTTTAATGTGAAACGAGCAGGCGGTACACCTGATGTTAAGTGAATACCGCCGCCCATGGACATCTGCCACACCAGAGGGTTACAGATGCGTTGACAACCTTTTGAAAATTGCGCTCCGGCCACCACTTTACGCCGGTCTTCTGTGAGGTCGTGGTACTTAACCGGACGGACCTGCCCATTCGTGCAACAGCCAAAGCCGTTGCGTGGCCCTAGCACAGTTAAGTATTAAATGGTTATAAATAACATAAAACTAAATTAACCATTCTTATTGGTTCTTTTGTAGGCTCCATTGTTAAATGGATAAATATGTGGACATGACACAGTTTTTTTTTTACATTTTCAATGGATAATATTTAATAATTTACCATTAGAATTAGTACACTATGAGTAGTAGTCGCTAATGACGATCAGATCCCTTTATAGTATCTTAATAGTTTATAGCATGGTTACTAATTGGTTTTGTTTTAACATATTACTTAAAGGAGTACAACAAATTTGGTAGGGCCAAGAACAGTTTTCGTGAACAGTTTGTTTTTGTATATATGCGTCTGGCATAAAATAAACTAGCATAGAGATATTTTTCGCCGACAGCAATCCCGGACGCAGACGCACGATTACGGATGAACAGGAAGTATGTAAGAGCGACTCACTTGCCGGTCTCCTTGACGGAGAAGAACATGGGCCCGAGCTCGGCGAGCCAGCGCGCGTCGACGGCGGTGACGCAGTGCATGTACTCGCGGCTGGTCATGGTGAGCTCGTGGTAGACCACGTAGTCGGGCGGGCCGCCCAGCCCGAACAGCGCCGACGTGGGGTGCAGGTGGCACGGCATGCCCGTGCGGCAGTTCACGTACTCGCCGATGCCCTTCAGCCGCGCCGCCTGCTGGAAGTACGCTGCGGGCGGGGGGGGGGCATTGGTCGCTTTAGTACCCTATTTTCAGTTTTATTCAAGTGTTAGTCCTATCCACGCAGCGTTTTGTGAGTACGCCGCTCCCCCCCATTTTTAGTTTTACTCCTATCCGTGTAACCTGCTGGAAGTGCAAATGGAACTTTTTTTAATAGCCTCGCGAATCAAACTTCGACAGGTAGCGGTGGTCCATGGCGAAGGCACGATCCTGTCTCCTGGATAAGTTATTTGCTATTAGTATTACGTACACTGCGACGTAGCAGTGTATGAGTGAGCAGAGATGCAGCGGGGTGTCGTGAGTGTGAAAGAGTAGGAAGATTTTGTGTGAATGCTGTGAATAGTGTGATGGGGACGACTACAAAAGGGGCTGACACAATGATAGAAGAAGCTGGTAGGGAAGCTGTGGACAAGTATGGAAAGTTGACGCAATGTGAAAGCTGACGTGGACAAGTATGGAACGTTGACGCAATGTGAAAGCCGACGTGTACAAGTATGAAAAGTTGACGCAATGTGAACAAGTATGGAACAGGGCCGCAGTTGATACCTGAGCAGATGCACTCGCGCACCGTGTCCCACTTGGTGCCGCAGGAGACCAGCGGCAGCCGCTGCTGCTGCAGGATGTCTCGCAGCTGCTGCCGCACCTCGCGCACCTTCCGCATCGCCTTCGCGTGCACGAAGTGCTCCGTGCACCACGCGCTCGAATAGCTGCGCGTCACACGCGTCACACGCGTATCACACGCGCGTCACACGCGTCACACGCGTGTCACACGCGTGTCACACGAGTGGGAAAGGGAAATCATAATCGAATCACATCATATTGTGCGATGAACATTGCGTTTCTCCTGTGTCTGGATGTTTATATACATGTTTTGAACTTTAAATAAATAGATATTATATAATATGTATTTATTTTCGAAATGAGAGTATGTTATAAAAAAAATTTTACTTGGAAATATATTGAACTGATTGCTCCAAGCGCTTACAAGCAGAATTTAATATATTTTAACATGGTTTTTTTTAGCGTTTTGTCACACTATGTTATAAAAAATGTCCCGTCCAGTTTCTTTCGCCGGTTTTTCTCGCATCAATGGCCTTTTTTCAATAAGTAAGAGTAATGCTTCTATATTGAATGAAGATATTTGAATTTGAAAAAGAGTGTTGCGTGGCCCTAAACATAAAACCGGCCGAGTGCGAGTCGGACTCGCGCACGAAGGGTTCCGTACCATCATCCATAAAAACGGCATCAAAATCATGTCTGTTGTATGGGAGCCCCAATTAAATATTTTTATATTCTGTTTTTTTTTTTTTGTTTATTTATTTGCTGTTATAGCAGCAACAGAAATTTACAACTGTCTAACTAACACGGTTCATGAGATACAGCCTGGTGACAGACGGACAGACAGACACACAGACGGCTGAGTGTTAGTAATATGGTCCCGTTTTACCCATTGGGTACGGAACCGTAAAAACAACACGAAATAAGCGTATCATGATATCGAGGCTCACTTGTTCGCCTTCCACTGGTTGTAGAGGTGCAATAGAGTGAGATGGTCCGATTCGGGCACTTGGAACTTCTCCCGGACTGCGTCTGCCTCTTCCTCTCTGCCCTGGGGCCGGTAGAAGACCGACGGCACAGACAGCATCGAAACTGCCCGAGAGAGACGGAGCCAGTGGTTATGCGGCATCGCGTTGACACGGCTCGAGAGGGACAGAGATAGCTATAGTTCATGACAGCAATAACGTTGACTTATCTCTAAGAGGGACAGAGATAGTTGGTGGTTATACAGCACGAACAGCCTTGACACCGCTTAACGGCCGGTTTCAGTAATCTATCTATCTGTGGATTTGGTTACTGGAGATAGATTTTTGAGGTAAGTATTATGGAGCTAATTTCAAATACCTATCGCTAGTAACCAAATCGAATAATAACGTATGACGTTGACTTCTGTTCAAGATAGGCAGAGATAGTCAGTAGTTACGCGGCACCGTCAACGTTAATACCTTGTTAAGAGAGAAAGAGACAACTCCAAATCAGCACAATCTCTTTTATTCACTCGGGAAATCATTTGGGAGAGATTTGGTGCATATAAAATTAAGAACAATGTTTCATAATTCAACGCTATTTTAAAATTAAAAAAACGCTAGTTTCGAGCAGTTTCAGATAAGGCCTCGTTTGTAGTTTATCTCTGCCGTTTGATTTAACACATGCGATGCATTATTGTCAATTTGCATGAAATTAAAGTGAAATAATAAGCCACAAAATCAAAACTATATTAACAAGGCAATAACTTAATAAATAAATTTCTACGAGGTAAGCAGAAAAATAAGAGTTATTTTAAAGTTCTTGCTGAAGTGATGTCAATGGCTAGGAATCCCATATCACTTTATGGGATGGAGGCAGGGGTCAGATCTGAACGGAATTATAAATACATAAGTCAATTTATTACTGTCTTTAACGATTGAAAAAAAAAAATCAAAAATTCTCGCGAGGTAACTTGCATATTTACCAGTGTCCAGGTGCTCGCTTTGGTTTTATTACACTCGAGTAACCCGAGTTCAAATCCCATCAAGGAGTTGTAATTTATGACGAGTTTGGCCGTGAAGGAAAAAATCATACGGACAGCTGCATGTTTTCGAAACGATAACAAAAAACAAATTCGATGATATTTGAATCCGCGAATCCACAGTGGGGCCGCGCGATGGACTATGTCCAATAGTGGGACATGTATAGGCTGATTCTTTACTATTTAACAGCTGACGAGCCGTGATAGCTCAGTGTCCGGGCGATCGCCTTTAATTCAATATACTCGAGCAACCTGAGTTCGAACCCCGGTGCCGGCACCAATGAAGTTTTTAACTTTAAGTGCTGACTTATCACGTGCTCCGCGGTGAAGGAAAACACCGTGAGGAAACCTGCATATTTTCGAAATAATAATAAAAAAATATATCGCCAATCCGCAGTGGGTCGCGTGGTGGACTATGCCCTGATACCCTCTGGAGGAGGCCTTTGCCCAGCAGTGGGACATGTATAGGCTGTTACTTTACCAGCTGACAAGCGAGCCGAACGGAACCGAATCATCGCTAGACGAGTGGTGACGACGGGTGGTGACGACGGGTGATAACTCACCGATGATGAGCACCTCCGCGCTGCAGCCCATCTCTGCGGAGACGATGAGCATGTGGCACTGCGGCGGGTCGAGCGGGAACTCGGCCATCTGGCGGCCGAGCGGGGTGAGCGCGCCGGTGCCGTCCAGCGCGCCCAGGATCCACAGCTGGTACATCGAGTTCAGGATCGTGTCCTGAGGGGGGTTTCTTTGCAATAGATTTGTGCGTCTGCGGCGAGGAGTCTATAGTGCGAGCAAGCACTGCACGCCGAGCGATTTGGAAATCCATAATAGGGACGTCGTAAGTGAAGTAATATATCGGCGAAGAGTTTATAGTGCGAGCAAGCACTGCACGCCGAAAGTGAAGTAATATATCGATATTTATATAAATAACAACATCCGCCTCGATGTATCGAAGAGAAAATATCGAAATATCGGTATGTCAAGTATTTTATTCATTTCCACGGACACTGGACGGATTCGAATTTGTAAAAAAATATGGAAGGATACGAATTTCGATACTGAATATTTTGTAACGACATCGACTATATATCGGTTCTAATTATATGGGTTGAAAATTTTTCGACATCCCTACTATATAAGTGTGTGCACGAATTCGTGCGTCAGTGTGCGTGCATCTGCGCGTCTTAATTATATATTGTTTTAATTGTTAACATTATTTTGTTTGTTAACAATTAAAACAATTTTTATTCACCGGGGGGTCCATGAAGTGGAACGCGAGCAGGTCCTGGCATGAGTGTACGCATGAATGCGTGCGTCTATGTGCCTCTTATCACGTCAATGTGTGTGCACGAATGTGTGCGTGTGCGTGTGCGTGCGCGTCACCTGCGGCGGGGGGTCCATGAAGTGGAACGCGAGCAGGTCCTGCACGCCGAGCGACTTGAGCAGCAGCACGGTGTTGGCGAGGTTGGTGCGCTGTATCTCGGGCACGGTGGCCGGCAGCAGCTCGTGCGTGAACTGGCGCTGCGTGTAGAGGCAGAACGCCTTGCCGGGGCCCGTGCGGCCCGCGCGGCCCGCCCGCTGGCGCGCGTTCGCCTGGCTCACGGGGTAGATCTGCGGGCGTCACGTCGCGGCCGGGTAAGCAGCGACCCCGCGGTCCGCTAACCGTCGCTACACGGTGACGTCACGGTCACCAGACTGTCGCTAGATTTAACGTCGCGGTCCGGTAACCGTCGCTAGACGGTGACGTCACGGTCACGGGACTGTCGCCAGATTTAACGTCGCGGTCCGCTAACCGTCGCTAGACAGTGACGTCACGGTCACGAGACTGTCGCCAGATTTAACGTCGCGGTCCGGTAACCGTCGCTAGACAGTGACGTCACGGTCACGAGACTGTCGCCAGATTTAACGTCGCGGTCCGTTAACCGTCGCTAGACAGTGACGTCACGGTCACGAGACTGTCGCCAGATTTAACGTCGCGGTCCGTTAACCGTCGCTACACGGTGACGTCACGGTCACGGGACTGTCGCTAGATTTAACGTCGCGGTCCGGTAACCGTCACTGATCGGTCAAGTTACGGTCACGTGCCGGCCACCCACGACGTCACGTTCGCCTTGCGGACTGGGTGGATGTGGGACGGTGACGTCACGGTTCGGGAAACCGTCACTAATTGCCGCTTACTATTTATTGGACGGCCTCTTTAAGAAAGCAGCACTTGGGCCAGATAACGCCAATGTATGTCGGTCAGCAACGACCTTTTACAGGTGGCGGACTTTCGCCTTGCTGGTTCGGTAGATATGAGACAGTGACGTCAAGTTTAGGAAACCGTCGCCAGTTGTCGCCATCACACAGTCGCTTTACGGAACGACCAGCACTATGGCCAAGCAACGCCAATGTGTATCGGTCAGAAAGGACCTTATACCAATCGCGGGCGTTTCCCTGGCTCGACGGGTGGAACTGACTGTTTAATATCCGACGGTCGCTGTACGGAGCGACCAGCACTTTGGCGAAGCAACACGACCGCTGGTGTCGATCACCACCTTTGACGTGTGCCTTTATGCCCCACTAATCTAATTTGCAGTTGTATTTTGTGTGGAAGTGGTTGGGTAAGTCCCGAAGACCACTGCGTCCTGGATCTATTGTGGTGTCCCCTTCAAATCATTGTCTCGTTCTAAATCATTATCTCTTACTGTGGGATAACATTATCCTGGGTTGTAAGGACGTTTTACATACATGAATTTCTCGTATTTATTTATTAAAGATGTTAGTTACTTGCAATGATGGCGGTATTAGTATTGTTGTTGATTGTATTACTTATATCATATTTATTTGTTTGTTATACCTAAGACAAAGAGTGATAATTATCTGTGAGCTCCATAAGATTGGTGGCGGTGTGGTGGTGCTGGTTGTCAGCTGGATTGAGTAAGTATCCAATAGATGGCGCTATGTTAACGCGTTTGCAAATACAATTGAAAGTGATAATAACAGATTTGGCGCAGACGAAATATCGCGGGCGGATAGTATACTCGTATCGCAGTCAATGATGATGCAAACTGACCTGCAACGCGTCCATACCGATTCTCGGATTGTACACCTTCAGTTTGCAGTAGCCGCAGTCTATCACGTACATTATGCCGTCCACAGTCAAAGATGTTTCTGAAAGTATCAAAAAAATTATCTATTAGATACATTTACCCGAGCTCCTGAACGCCTTAAGTTTAAGAGATAGACTGACGCCCGGTTTCTGAAACACTGATCGTCGTAGATGTCAGCTGTCAAACTCAAATCATTTTAGTATAGTGTTAATTACTAGACTTAAGATGAAACATTGAGAATTGTGTTGACCTACCCGCTATGTTGGTAGCGACGATGCACTTCCTCTGGCCGGGCGGCGCCCGCTGGAAGATCTTCGCCTGGAGATCGGCCGGCAGCTGCGAGTAGATCGGCAGCACTGTCAGCGGCGGCGCGGCGTCCAGGTCGCCCAGCCTCTCGGTGAGCACCTGCAAATGTTCGAGATGTTCGAGATCTTTTCTGGGTTCCGTGCCCGAAGGTTGAAACGGGACCCTGTTACTAAGACTCCGTCTATCTTCAGGGTGTATCTCATGAACGGTGATAGTTAGAAATTTGAGATTTTCCCATTTTATTGTATTTTTGTTGCCGCTATGACAACAAAAAATATTTAAGGGGGCACCCATAAAACAAACACGTTTTTATAGATATTGGTACGGAAACCTTCGTGCGCGAGCCCTACTCGCACTTGGTCGGTTTTTTATGTGAGAAGTTGAAGCGAGGTGGCGGATCACCTGGTGTTAAGCGATAACCGCCACAAACACACATTTGCAACACCGCAGCACGCACACAGCACACGCGTTGCCACCTTTTGATAAAGTGGGCCCCGGCTATCTCACTTCCCAGATGAAACGCAGGAGTATATACTTCTACTTTACGCCGGTCTTCTGCGAGGTCGTGGTATTTACTTGGACGGACCGTTCGGAACTGTTGCGTGGCCGTGTCACCGATGTGATAGGGAACTCAATGATCCAGATTGTTATCTTACAAAATTTGACCAGTTCCGACGAGTACCTATTGTAAATTTTATGTGTATTTTTTACTCGGAAACTTGTCCAGATTCATTACAGTTTGATGTACATATATTCGAGTTCATAATCCTTATTACTTCTTTAATTATTTTGAGAAATAATTCAAATTAAATTCTAGAATTAGACCAGTACAACACCTAATAGTTGTTTAACACTAGCTGCTGCCCGCGACTACGCTTGCATAGAATAAGCTGAAGGCGTAACATTCAGACAGAAAGACAGATATACATAAAATATGTATATGAATTATAGCCTATATCTTATTCTGATGTATATTGATCTTATTCTGATATATTATTGTAAAGTTTCATTTAAATCCATTCAGTAGTGTTTGCGTAAAAGAGTAACAAACATCCATCCATACATGTACCATGTTTCGCCTTTATAATATTAGTAAGGATTACAATCTGCTGCTAAACTAGAGATTAAATACTTCATACTTCAGACACCTTTCTGGGATCACTCGCTTCGATATTTTACTATTCAGGTAGTTCCTTACCTCGCAAGTGACTTCGATGTCTTCTTGACCAGGCATGAATATTAGGATGTCACCTTCGTCGGGCTGGAGATGGATTTGAAGTGCCTGTAAAATCAACATATCATCACTACATAACTAGTATAAAACAAAGCCGTCCCGCTCTCTGTCTGTCCCTATGTATGATTAGATCTTTAAAACTACGCAACGGATCTTGATGCCCTTTTTTTTACTAGATATAGTGATTCAAGAGGAAGGTTTATGGTAAAGTAGGTACCAGGTACCAGGTACCAGGTACCAAGATATAGGCCAAACACATAATTTGTTTGTATATGTATAACAATATTTTCATCGGATTAATGATTCATAAAACATTTCACGTTAGCTAAGTGTGAATGCATTTTATTAAGTCTTTGTAAGTCATTCATTATATAATTACACGATAACTGCAAACCGTGTAAAAAAAGTATGCACTAAAGATAACCGCAAAACGTGTGTGTACTTAATATTAATGAGAATTATTTAAGTTTAAATTTATACCGTATATATGAAAATTGTTGTGAGATCAAATTATTTCGTTTCTATTTATACGTTTAATTACACATTCTCTAAACGGGCATTTAATGTAAAATAAGTTTTTTTTTCCATGGCCCTTTGTAATGCACTCTAATGATTTAAATGAAGTAATGGTCTATTTCCCACTACTGGGCAAAGCCCTCCTCTGTACAGAGGGTATATATACCTACCACAAGACCCCACTGCAGGTTTGCGGACTTCGCATATCTTCGAAATATTTCTTTTTATTATTTCACGATGTTTTCCTACACCGCCAAGCACGGTTAAGTAAAACGGTTTTTTTATGTGAAAATTTGTCAAACGAGCGGACGGTTCACCTGATGTTAAGTGAATACCGCCGCCAATGGACATCTGCTACGCCCGAGGGCTACAGATGCGTTGACAACCTTTTGAAAATTGGGCTCCGGCTACCTCACTCACCAGACGAAACGCGAAAGTATTTGTCATACTTCCACTTTACGCCGGTCTTCTGTGAGGTCGTGGTACTTACCCGGATGTGCCTGAGGTTTTATTGAAAATAAAGATTAAAATGATGTACTAAAAGCTAAAAAATAATTCGGTAGGTCCTCTAGATACTAGTCATCACACTATTCTCCTCATAAATTTAAGGCATTGATCAGACAAAAATATAATTAATCCAAATGTATTTTTGTGTTCCCCATAAGGACAGAAACACGAAGTGTCAATCACACTAGTGAGCGGGAACTTCGAGACTTCGAGACTTCGGGAATGTGCAAGGGTGCGTTCTGTAGCAGATCCCGAAGTCCATCGCACCGTACTTGCCATCGAATGGGTTAAAATCTTTTTTGTTTTATATGAAAAGTTGCCAAGCGAGCAAGCGTTTCACCTGATGTTAAGTGAATAGCGCCGCCCATGGACATCTGCTACACCCGAGGGTATGTAAATGCGTTGACAACCTTGTAAACTGGGCTACCTTAGACCAGACGAAACACGAAAGTATTATACTTCCACTTCGTCTTCTGTGAAAATTTTGTCTTTTTCGCAGGAAAACTTGACTCTTCCAATACAAAGAGTAAAAGGACCATGGGGCGTGCTAAAGAGAAATTGAGAAAGAAAAGGAAAAGAAATTCAAGAAGTGGCAAGGAATTGTTATTAAAGAGAAAATTAAAATATCCATTTCTCACTCCAGTCACGCAAGCTGCTTTTATTTTTTCTTGACCCAAGTTTTTATAAAAAAAAGAAGTATATATAGAACAAAACGAATCATTGAAGGAATACTTCTACGTGACCATTTACCAAAGTCTCACATAAATGAGTCATCGATCCGTAACTCCATTACTGACCACTGTGATCCACAGGTCACAGACGTAGAGTCATATAATATAAAGGTTCCAATCCAGAACGCACAATATATACGTCGCGTGCTGTCCAATTTACAATCCAATTAGTTAATAGAGCCAATTGGGGGCAATTTAATCGATTTTAACATAGGCTGACGAACTTTAACCGCTCTAATTCTATTGCCGTTATATCATTATTATCGACACGATCGATATTATTCTCATTATAACTGATTCGATGCCGCAGAAAAATAGACGTATGTATTAACTTTTCATAATTGTCCACGAAAAGTATGGATCCGCGCAGCAGTTTCTGTTTTATTGCTCGTACACAAATCCCGGAAAACAGTGCTCAGAGTATTGCGGTTGTGTACCGGAGTCACCTTTATCACGGTCTAGCCATTGCTTGATTAACATCCCACTCGCCTATGCTCATAGTGAGTCGTCACCAATTAACATAACTGGTGGAAACTAATACCACGCAGATATAACGTGCCATGGACTAAAAGACGTTCCACTAATGCATAATGACGATACTCGAACAAACACACCTGCCAGTCACGCAAAGATGTAAGTAGAGAGAGATAAAGAATTTACAAAATCCTTAGTCTTGTACATATATTTTACCTTTTCCGCATTGGTCATCCGGTCTTAGGAAACATAATCCAGTTACATGGAAATCTAATAAGAACATCAATCAATCGATATCATGTCAATTTTAAATTAGAAATATCGATGGCCCTCGAAAGTTTATTAGTCAGAAAGCGATTTGCTATCAGGTCAAGGGATATGCTATCGCTCGTGAAGCCGGCACACAGCCGAAGTTAATTTGATGACTCTAATGGCATTGGATTATTTGCTAAGAGACTAGTTTCGATGTAGCATAAGCATGTCTGTATACAATTTGATAAACGTACCGTTATATAAACAAATAAAGGGGAAAAAAATTCAAAATGAAATTAATACGTCATCGACGTTTCGATTTCACCGTTATCCCAACGGCGATCACAGATATTTGCTTGTAATTAATTACAACAATCGACCGTGAAGGCATGATTGTCGAAACTGGAAATTACTAGAATTCCTTAAAGTCCTTAGCGCGTCTGGGTCCGTACGGTTCTTGGGTGAAACAGGTTGGGGTCGGCTGAAGTCAGACGCGGATGAGAGAGATTAACGAGAATCCAATGGAGTTCTTTACTAAGGCATGCACATAAGAAGGAGACTGTGAGACCAAAGTGAGAAATTGTCCCTACAATTATTGGTGCCGGGGATTAAAAACAAACCGAATATTAATTAGTCAAATGGCGATAACGTGAAAAAAGACGGCAATAAATTGATATCATCAAGAAATAAAGATGATGTAATTCACGATTTAACTATAAACTGTAAGCATCACAGATTGGTTACGAAAAGAAAATTGGTGCAAATAGTGACGGCAGGTCAATTGAAATCTTACTGGCGTTCTATTACTTTAGATTAACTTCACATGGAATTTAGGACGAAATTTATCGACCCATAATAATACATTTAGTATTAATAGTTATTGGCTATAATTATCAACTATTGACAATTTATGTGTCTACATATTTTATCTATTCAGGTCCGACACTATTATGTAATTAAACGAGTACATTCACAATCGCGGAGTAGACGGATAACATTATCGTAATGCCGGCCATAGTGCGCCACGCTGCGTTGAAATTCCAAATTGTCGAATTAAGATTTTGGCGTTTAATACGTTCCAATAAGTTTTAAAGTGGCATAGCGGAATTGAGTTACGTTTAGACTAGGCAGACGGTGGCATTCCTAGGCCAGTTTGTTGATATCACAGTGTACGCAGTAATTGATATATATGAGGAATAAAATGACATTTTCATCGTATCAGTATATATATATATATAGACAATTAAAAAAAAATAGAGATCACTTGTTAGACGTAACGGTATGCCAACGAAGTTAAATAATTTATTATTAATAATTTATTATTTTTTTACCATCAAACAAGCAGTAAATCGAAACCCAGGAAACAGATAAGTGTTGAAAATTAACTGGTGAAGTCTGAGCCATCTGGGATATTGAAAAAAATAGATTTAGAAAGAAAACTACCATCGGTTTAAATATCAAGTCTTTGATCGATCCAGAAGCAAAATATAAAGCAAAATAATAGAAAGCAGTATATGGATAAGGTTTAGTGATGAGAGTTTGACGGTTTCAAAACGCGATGACCAACTTTATTCATCTAAATTGTCTGAAATAGCGACACAAAGTTATTAATTGGGTAATCAAGGTGATAACTTCCTTACGAACTTACGTATTAATTATTTATGTAAAATTCGACGTTTCATAAGAACGCAGTAGCGTCTCTTTCAATAAAGATAGTTTGAATTTGAAATTGAATATGAAATAAGTGTATCTTCATTTATTTTTATTATTATATATTCTTTATTGAACACCAAAAAAACATGAAAGGAAATGTTACAGAACTATAAACTTAAGAGGTATAAACAATAAGGCGGTCTTATCGCTAAGGAGCGATCTCTTCCAGACAACCTTGTGGTTAAAATATTTAATTTGGACAATTGTAGGTGGTGTAAATGATAAACTTTCCTACTAATAATTAAATAAACTCAACGATTATGTTGTATATTTTTATAATAATAATATACTAATATCTACTAAATAAGATCCAATAGACATACATAAATCTAAACATATACTGTACAATAACTTAAAAAAATATATACAGGAAGAAAAAGAATAAAAATAAAAATATACAATGTCGTCGGTGATAATCAGTAAATGAAACACAGTGACAGATAATAATTTTTAACGTCAGTTTTAAACTTGCGTAACGTTTTTTGAGCGCTGGATGTGTGGAGGAAGCGCGTTCCATAGGCAAATGGCTTTGACCGTAAAAGAGTTCTTAAAATAATTGGTCCGGAAAGTATGCGGGGTGATAATGAGTTCACTGGCTGATCGCAGAACTCTTTCTGGTCTGTCATGACCAAGAAATTAAACTGTTCCTTCAAATAATCGGAGTCATAGGATTGAAAAAAACACAGTACAGAAGAGAAACATATGCAGATTCCGGCGAAGGCGGATGGGTAACCACTTGAGCTTTGTACGATATTCGGAGACAGTCATACTTGCGTAGACCGAAAATAAATCTGATAGCTAAGTTTTGAATTCGCTCAAGCTTGTTAAGTTGGTCCTCGGTTAAATCAAGATAGCTTGCGTCCGCATAATCGAGAAGGGAAAGAAGTAAGGATTGTGCTAACATAATCTTAGTAGGAATGGGGGAGAAAAGAACGTAAGCGCCGCAGAGAACCCATGGCTGCAAGTGTTTTCCTGCTAACTTCCTTTAACTGGGGAGACCACCAGAAAGTAGAGTCGAAGTGAACACCAAGGTTTTTAACAGTTTTTGTTGTATGGCACCACAATACCATTTAATGTTATCGAGGGAAGGTTATACCAATCTACCTTTGAAATCATGCCAACTCCGCCAACAATGATGGCCTGGGACTTGCAAGGATTAATCTTAAGACCATAGCTCTTACTCCACTCGCTAATAGCCGCCAGGTCACCATTAATGGCAGTAACAGCAGTGGGCAAATTTTCAAGATTTGAATGTGTGTACAGTTGGAAATCGTCTGCATACATATGGTAGAGAGAAGTAATATTGTGAGAGATTGAATTAATAAAGATAGCAAAGAGTAATGGAGACAACACACCACCTTGAGGCACTCCAGCTCGTAATTCACGCCAGGATGAAAACATACCATCAAAGCGAATACGCTGCTGTCGGCCACTAAGATAACTCTGAAACCAGCCGGCCACTGGTGGAGATATTAGCAGAATAACAGACTCAGCAGAATGTCATGATCAACAGAATTAAATGCATTACTGAAATCCAATAGTACCAATACTGTGAGCTGTCTATTGTCCATACCTCGTCGAATATCGTCAGTAATTTTAACCAGCGCTGTAGTTGTACTATGTCCTGACCGGAAGCCGGATTGAAAAGGATTTAGAAGACAGTTTCTATTCAGATGGAGATTTAATTGGTGGAAAATGAGTTTCTCTAGGACTTTAGATAGAAAAGGGAGAATGGAGATAGGGCGGAAATCGGTAGAGTGCACGGCATGAGCCTTTTTAGGAAGAGGAGTTACTAATGCACTTTTCCATGCTTCAGGAAATTTAGATGTGGAGATAGATTCATTCAGGATATGGGTGATAACAGGAGTAACTAGGTCAAGGATAGGTAGGATCATGTTACGACTAACGCTGTCATTCTTCTTTTTCTTATGTTTTAAAGAGAAAATCGGTGGTGAAAAGGAAAAAACATTGCCTCCAGTTATCTTTGATGTTATTAAATGAAGCCTCGGCGATCTATTACACTGCGATGTTGACTGCAATGGCTGTGTCAACGAACTTCGGGCTCCGACCGCTTTACTACGTCGATACGCAAGTTTCTAACAATCGCTAATGCAACGGGTAGTGCTAATGTATTATGCGTCTATAATCGTCAAACATATTTGTTAAATTCGTTAGGCAAATGAAAACTAGGCAATTGATTCGTTCGATGAGCAAACATTTTTGGTTGAATCGTTAAAAAAAGACTCACGATTCGTGCAGCCGAACCAGCTGATTTACTCATTTTCGGAACTTGTTAGTGATAAAATTTTAAATACATAACAGATAAAAGAATAAAGAATCTATTACAGGTTCAAAACTCAATACTTTAGACCTATGAATATTAGTAGCTGTAATTTCTCAGACCTAGTTAGCATATGGAGTTCTGAAAAGCAAGAACTGGGCAAGCAAGAGAAAGCAAGAAAAGCAAGGGCTTGAGTTTAAAATTCAACAAGGATAAAGTCCTTTATCTATGGGGCATTTCTCGCCAAGATATCGAATACGTTTAGCATATTTTCTTAGAAACGTTAGCAAAGAAAAATATAATTGCAGACGTTTGTGTTGACGACAGGTGAATCTTGACCGCATTTTGTCTACTTTCCAACGATATAACTCCTTTAAATTTAAACAAACAAAATGATTAAAATTTGATAAACAATTTTTGTATTTATTTTTTTAATACACGTAAAATGCTAATCCGGCTTAAACTGGACAAATTTATACACGTGAAACTACATGTCACATCTAATGTTTAAAAACCCAAATCAGTTGGCAAACGTGAAACTCTTAGTTCCTGTGGAACGCGTTTTACAATAACCCTTAATTCTTTATTGATTCGATTGGCATTCAGAGTCCGATAAAGAGACGGACGTAAATTCCGCTAAACTCCAACCGAAATGTTATAAATCGAGAAACTTTCTAATGCAATACTGGTTTAGTAAGCGGAGTGGGGAGTGAAACTGTGTTCCTGAGCCTACTGATTGTGTGACAAACGGCTGGCGAAAATGGTGCGTGGGCGAAACATGCCCACGGTGCCTTGCAGATTCCAACGTAGCCGCTTGCTCATGCCACCCACAACAACCAGTGGATAGATAGATAATCGAGAATATCATATTCATCGCAGATGTTAAAATGAAACACTAAAATTCAATCAGGTGTTTAGCTTAGAGGTTAAAGTAGATGGGCGCAATTCCGGAAAACGCGTGTAAGATCCCCGCGGAGGCGAAAAACTTTTCGTCCACTTTTCTACAAATTTTAAAGTGACGTACACTTTGTATAAGCTTACTTAATTAAAAATGTTCAGTATTTGTAGAGTTATGTAGAGGCTGGGCAAATATTTCTCTCGCATATACCGTGAGTGTTAATAAAGTTGTGTTCGCTATAAACTTAGATTTCAGAGGTTTTGGTAAGAAAAATCTCTGATTGGGGTTGACTAAATTAAGTCTGTGTAAATACTTGATTAACAAATAAGTTTATTAAGTATTAACATAGGTTTGCCCTATTACCACGTTGAGGAGGTTTTCTTGTTGATACGAGTATCTTAAAATCATTTGAATGTGTAAAAATGACTTGGATAAAGTTAATAGATTGGATATGAATAGTTACAACAATTTTGAATATACTTTAGAGATAGGTACTCTTTTCACTTCTTTTTCCCAAGTTATATGTAGGTGGCTTTTAAATAGATTTGAATAATTTATTGAAGATGATTATGAAACCTGTTGGCCTGAAAAATGTTGGTCAAAAAGGTCTTTCTGATGGTGGAAGGGGGAATCATGAAAACAACCACCTTCGACTACAATTCACAAACAAGCGGGAGAAGTATAGAGTTTGACTTAGGATGTGATTAATAATACCGCACCTGTTTAACAGCACCATCCACGTAGTCCTCACAGACGTTCTTGGCGAAGAAGGTCTCGACGGGGAAGGTTCGCCCCGGTATCGTGAAGGTTGGCACGTTGCCAAAGAAGGCGGAGAACTTGCTGGAGTCCATCGTGGCTGACGTCACAATTAACTTGAGGTCAGATCGCCTCGCTACGACCTGCAAACGGAAAACACGTTGTAATATAAGAAAAGATGAAATAAAAAAGTGAAAGAAATGTAAACGGGATCGGTGGCTGTCGATGGCAAATACGAAGTTACAGCTTCAAATGCATAAACTATAGGTTCTGCCGATGTCTTGCGTTGGAAAAATAACACTTTTAAGAATGCGCTATGTGAACGACTAGGTTTTGGCAGCTTACTACATTTTTACGTTTTAGGGTTATTTCACCTGACCGTATGGTAGGCCGGGGTGCTTCCCCGAATGAGCCTTTTTTTTCGGTATCGGGAAGGAAATCTTCAAAAGATACCCTGTCACATCTCACGTGGCAGGGTTATGTGGGGTTCTTATCCACTAAAACCCCCTCGGCGGCCACCTGTTCGTTTGAAGGACTCCGGGATCAACTACGGAACGCACCGGTGTCCCTCGGTACTGGGCGAGAGCACGCCTCGGAGAAGGATAAACCTTCCCCTATTCCCTCGCCATCTTGCAGCAGCTCGAGACCACATGGTGCTGCTCCTGCACATTCCGTGTCCCCTTTTAGTAGCCTTTTACAATAGGTAGGAGGATACCTTAGCCCTATTTCATGAGCCCGGGACTACATAGCTGTTCCCGAACGAGCCTGCCATTCGTGCAACAGTGGAAGCCGTTGCGTGGCCTTAGCACTGCGAGAAAACGATTCGTGTCAGTAAGCTTTATACGCACTCGAACATAGCTTCCAAGAGAAAGCGAACAAGAAGCAATCTCGGGTTAGTTCGAAAATTGTACAATTTGGCTATTCAAGTATTTTTTTCAATATTTAATAATCATAATTAATAATCATAATCGTAATAATCATAATTAATAATCATAATCGTAATAATAATAATGTCCGTATTTCGACTAATGGAAAGGCACTGCTATGCTAGCTCGTTACGCTAGTTTTTTTACGTGGTCTAGGGTATTGTGCAATCCGAATACAAACCTAGTATTTCCAAGGCCTAAATGATAATAGACTAACAGATTTCAAAAGAGATTTTTTACGGGAGAACAAATCAATTGTTTGAAAATAGGTACCAATTCACAATAAAAACTGAAAGCGATTACTCAAAGACATGGCAAAAAATAAAGCGGAACAAAACATTAATTTATGGTAACACTACAAGTACGAATACATGGCTATTACCAGATGTTCATCTATCACATTGTCTAATAAAGCTTCTTGTTCAAATAACGAAAATGCTCGTTTCTAATAGCTATCCAATTTGATGTGAAGTACCAATGTATTATATGGATCTCAATGTCAGAAGCAAAAAATAAACGTTCGATTTTTTTTTTACTATTGTCTATAAATAGAACTAGTTGTTGAGCCTTTATCTTTTTACGTTATTTTTTCTGATGTATTTTAACGTCAACGGACCGTGAAATCCGGTGTATCTCATAGTTTGTATGTAACATTTTTATGTTGTCAGTCATGAGTTTCTTGTAGTTAAATATTACAATGGCTAATATATCGACAGACATTTTATCATATTTGCTTCCGTCCGTTTGTGGCTTGCTCGGGATATAAGTGGTTGCAGCTAAAGTATCACTTGTACTTTAAAGTAAATAACAGTCTTGTTACATTTATGTCTATCGCATCAATCTCTCTATCGTGTATCAATTGAATGGCTTTTTGTTGACTATGACGTTCTGTTTTAATGATTGCAACTTAATGAATCAATGCAGGTTGCAGTATGTTGTGTAAGTTTTTAATTTTAAAGAGTATTAATGGCCTCGTAATTGGAATGACGACTCGTGTTCAATTATTTATTTTTTATTAATGTGTTCCGAGGTGATTGGGGAATCCCAAGAAATGTCACGTTCAAAAGATGAAACAATTACGTTGACGTCAGAGTAATGTTTAGGGCACCGGTCTCAGATCCATTGGTGAGGACTTATTACATCTCAGTGAAAAATGGCTAAGATTAACTATATCTTTCTAACCCGACAAGGACTAAATAGATGGCAGCTTGTTGAAATAAAATGGTCAGGGGTTGTGAACCTTTTAAATTTTCACTTTTTAGAAGAACTCCTTTTGTTTTGTTGTCAAGTACTAGCTCATTTGTAATAAACTAAGAAATATTTCTGAATAATGGCTTGTTTGTGTGTGTGTTTCTAGCAATGAGTACGTGTAAATGAATTATTAATGTAAATTACAATCAAATGATATGATTTTGATAGCGTGCGAATTTATCACTATCACAAAAATTTCTCAGTAACGATGATCGATAAATCACTGGCGTTATAGAATAATCGCCTGTTATCATTTTACGTCAAAAGTTGGCTATGGTTCAAAAATGTTGAATGCCTCAATATAAGAAAGGTTAATTGAGGTTAGTAATCTCAAGATCTTTAGGACTACTATCAACCCCAAACCGATATTTTTGGTTTATAGAATAATGGTATATATCTCTTTCTACAAACATATTCGCTAACTACTTATTTGAATGTATATAAATACTAAATAAATTACATTTTTAAAAATTCTCCTTTACAGCTTAATGTGAAACATATTTTGTACTCGTCTGAATTTTTGTCTAAGGACCCGAATATAATCACGCGAGACCTTACATCCAGTTTTTCGTTTACGGCGAAATAACAACCTCCGATAACGTATTTTACGAGTATGTGTTTAAGAGTGAGCAAAGCATGGTTTCTCCTATGTAGTTTAGTCACCCCTGCTTCGTAAGTAGATTTACTCGCTAGCCTAGTTCCTCCGGTCGATTCGTCACCGCAATTTATTTCCATTCGAGTAGAAAATTAGGTTTAGTTTATACATATATTGCCCTTTCTCTTCTATGTATTTCACTTCAGATACCAGGGTTGATGAAAGTTACCTCTATCTATAAGTCTATACAGATAAATAAAATTGTTATGTCTCATTGTAATATTAAAATAACCGTTTTTTACGTAAATACATTAAATTCATATGCAAAATCCACGGTAAATATACCAAAATAACATGTGTAACAATTTATGTCTGTCTGTTTGTTCTGGGTAATCTCTGTAACGGTTAGACCAATTTTGACGGGACTGGCAGATAGCTGATGTAATAAGGAGTAACTTAGGCTACTTTTATATGTTATAAATACCACGCGGATGAAGTCGCGGACACAGCTAGTTATATATATAATCGATCTTTTTTACGAATTATATATAAAAGAAATATAATAGAAAGATTATATATATAATCTTTTCACAATCTGTTTTAAATAATATAAGTAAGTGTTTCGTCTTATAACATGTCATGAATGACATTTGCGTTTCAGTTCAGAACTATTGCGATAACATTTTAAAACTCTAGCCAACATGTTTATACTGTTTGTGCATTTATAATAGATTTAATTAAATTACTCTCGTATGTATGTGGCTACTTCTTAACTTTCACTTTTAATTTTGTACACATATCCTAATCAAATGATTTCTGATACGAAACATGCAATTTGTATATTCGTAGTTACGAGACTTTACTAATATCTCATCTAAAACACTTTTCTGTAGGATGGGTGCTTTTATTCTCGCTCAATACCGTCATTATTCTGCTATTTTGGCAGTTTTTGAAGTCAAATTAGTAAAATGGCGGTTTTCTATAGTGAAAATAACAAGTGTTAAATATATTTTTTTCTCGAAAACAATAAGCGACCGCCGAATTCTGCTTTTTGATTATTTCATTAGTCATTTTGCTAGGTCGAAAAACACCTGGAAGCTAGTGGATAATTTTACCAAATATAAAAGCATTCATGACACGACAGATTCCTTAACAACATCATGGAAGGATAGATAGGAGGAAAGCGGGGTCTCTACCCCTGTGCTCTCTCTGAGACCGAGGGTACGCTATACATCTCAAATAAAGAAGAAAATAAATGCCGGATCATTTAAAGAGGTTAAGGATAGGGCTAGGAACAGGGAAGTATTGTGGGTGTTACACAGCTGAACTATTGGGATGCTGCACAAACAAGAGGCCAGCTTTAAATTAAAGAAGAAAACCATTCACCCAGCATTGCGTGGAAGTTAAGAGCAGTCATCCAAAATCTCGAATCATTGGTTAAATATACATCTGTTTCCTCTACGAACAAAGGAACGAAACGAGGTCGAGTAATATACAAAAAAAAAGGTTTACAGGGAATATTTAACACGTTTATTCATATCATCACGCACATTGTCTTTATCCCAAAATAAATTCAAGAGGGATCATCTTATTGAGGTGATTAGGATGACGCATGGTTATACCGAAAATATTTTTTGTGGTTGTAATTGCAACTGCTGGAACCATGTTGTGTGAATTGCACCGTGGAGATATCCTAACCCCGATAATGCTGGTGGAATTGTTGCATCTGATGTTTAGTGATTATCGCCCGTGGACAAAATAGCCACCAGCTTTGCAAACCTTTAAAAGGATGGACCCAGGATACCTTATTCACCAGACGAAACGCAAAAGTTTACTTGTACTATACGCTGCCGTGTTACTTCACCTTACGAAGCAGGTAATTGTAATAGGTGTTATAAATAATAAATATTTCCCAAGTGGTCCCAAACTACTATGATAAGCATACTAAAGCATACTTTTCTTTCGTTCTTCTATCGTACAGAACATAAAACGGAAAACTTAAGGTAAAAAAAAAAACGTACAAATGCGAACTTAACCCTAAAAAGAGGTTCTCCCTAGCAAACCCCTGGCTTAAGATTACAGAAAAATTGTGATAGGTAAGTGGGTAAGTGTAAGTTCTTTTGTAAATAAATACATATCATACACATATAAACTCTCGTATACTGGTAAAACACTTATTACACAATATTTTTACAGTAGTGCGGATCGAACCCACACCCTCTGGCGCAGGAGGCAGGATCGCTACTCCCGGTGCCAATCGGGTCGTTGAAAAATTATTAACAATCGATATTTCCATAATACTAGGCGCCCATAGACTCAACAGGTTTCATTTCAATCGGCAGTCACTCTAGGCGCCACACACGTGGGAAAGCAAAGTTACCCGTGTAAAATGCAGACAAAGGTAACTGAGTTTCCAAGTCTTTATGCTGTGTGTATATATATATATGTGTATATGTATGTTCATTTATTGTCGCGACGGTAACGACACGCTGTATATATATAAAAGTAAAAAAGTAAAGTAACAGCCTATACATGTCCAACTGCTGGGCAAAGGCCTCCTCTATACAGAGGGTATCAGGGCATAGTCCACCACGCGGCCCCACTGCGGATTGGCGGACTTCACATATTTTCGAAATACATTTTTTTGTTATTATTTCGAAAATATGCAGGTTTCCTCACGATGTTTTCCTTCACCGCGGAGCACGTGATGAGTCAGCACTTAAAGTTAAAAACTTCATTGGTGCCGGCACCGGGGATCGAACTCAGGCCGCTCGAGTATATTGAATTAAAGGCGAGCGCCCGGACACTAAGCTATCACGGCTCTAACATAGCTGCTGTATGTATATGTGCATACAAAAATAAACTCGGTACCATTTTTTTATTAACGAGAAACAAAACCGACTTAGAATCTCGCTCTGTATTCATTTTATAATCGATTTTCAGGAGTCCCCTGAGTATCTACGGAGCGCAAGATCCAATACCAATGAAATTGACATGGGAACCACATGGGAAGCACCGGCACCTTTTAAATAAAAAAAAGAACCACCAAAATCGGTTCTCTCTGTCGAAAGTTCTGAGGTAACTAACAAACATAAAAAAAAACAGTCGAATTGAGAACCTCCTCCATTTTGAAGTCGGTTAAAAACAGTACATAAAACCACCCACACGGCTATCACGAAAAGGGGTGATCGGAAATTCGTCTCTTGACCATCCACGAGGCCATCTAGTCGACACTCGATATGTTTGCCCAGAACCTGAGCGGGAGGGTCCACGGGCGACGGTCGACGGTTCTGTCATCAGGCGAATATTTGCCGTTTATTTTTTTATTTATTTATTAAAACTTTTACACAAACAATTAACATTGTGTATAGGCGGACTTAATGCTTAGGCATTCTCTACCAGTCAACCTATGGGCGACGCTGAGACAAAAGAGGCAGGTGTAAAAAGTTTCAAATTTTCCATTTCTTCATAAAAGGTAACGATAACGCTCAAACGCGACTCGATAAATAACCTTAGCGAGAATGTTGTCTATGAGGAATGGCCAGTTCACCTAGCTGCACGCAACTACTTTTGTTGCTTGAGTGGGCAATCGGGTTTTGGAAAAGACCTCGACCTTACAGCTTACAGTGACCTGCGTGAAGTGTAAGTATCATGCTTTAGCGTTTCGTCCGGAAAGTATTATGCTTTAGTGAGGTATAGGATTTCTTTTTCATTACCTTTTTTGTATTCATCCAATTATTAAAGTGAAAAAAGTTTAATTAGAAATATTATTCGTTAAATGCTCTTTAGAGCCTGCGGTGTTCACTATGACCAACAAAGCGACCAAACTTTATACATACTTAACACGATGTAAACGTATTGCATGATTCGTGAACTAATTTATAACACTGCAGTAAGTATCGTCGTACGTATAACGGTCCATTCGACGCGTGCGAAACTCAACGTAGCGGGTTCAAAGCCGCTTTTCGAGTTCTCTAGAACAATTCAGCGACGCGAGTGCATAGCGGTTGACACGAAACCAGCTGACGCCAATGCCTCAAGACACTTTTACCGACATCTTTATAAAGAGATCAATGAATGTATACAATAAAAATTATAGAATAGATTAACGCCCGGTTTCTGAAACACTGATCATGATCATTCAGATTATTAAGAGGATCATTATGATCCATTCAGAACCATCCTTTTGGCAACACAAATGACATTTGTCCACTTGACAGCTGATTAGTTAACAGTAACATCAGTGTTTTAGGAGTAGCAACCGGGCGTAAATCTAGTATAAAAATATTAAATTGGAATAGAATAATTTTTGCTCGTGTCAAATACAACCTTTTTTTTCTTAGAAGTTCTTATGTTTATCTAAATAATCCTATAATAATATCTCGAGAAGGTAGGGTGGTAGGGCCACGCAACAGAGTTCGCTGTTGGACTAATGGGCAGCTCCGTCCGGGTGAGTACCACGACCTCACAGAAGACCGACGTGTTATACTTTTGCGTTTCGTCTGGTGAGCGAGGTAGCCGGGGCCCACATTATTAAAAGGTGGCAACGCATCTGCAATCCTACGGATATTGCAAATGTCCATGGGCGGCTGTTATCACTTAACATCAGGTGAACCGCTTGCTTGTTTGCCACTTTCTCACATAAAAAAATTGCCGTGTGAGCCTAGAGAGATTGAACCTCACAAGGAACCAGTCGTAGACCAGAACAAAGCGTTGTACGAGTAATAGCGTTACCATTATATTCGATTATTTACTTTGTCTATACGGCGTCATCATTTATTATTATACTGTATCATCCGAATTGTATGGAAAATGTAAATAACTCTTTTTTGTAAAAAAACTTTTTTTCCGTATGACGGCATTCCATTATATATGTATATATTCATATATAATTGTATGTGTCCAATTACTTACAACAGACGACATATCTAAGTAAGTCTAGTTGAGTTGGTGCTTTTTTTTTTTTTTTCGTGGGGAAATCCGTTATGGATACCTGGCCTCCCACATACCAGCAAGCAAGGTGATGTCGGACCGACTTAAACCCCACGGTGGACGCCATCAGCTGTCATGTGGGGTCACGGGATCTCCGTTTGGAACACTACCGCGGCCCCCCTTAGCTTGGCTTGAATAGCCTCGTCACTGTAACATCACTTCACTACACCCACCCCTGTGGTACAACCACGATAACTTGAACCTACTTCAAGTCATCATCGCCCTTAGGTTCTTTTACTGAGCTACAGAGGCCCAGTCGCCCGCGATCCTTGAGGTCCCGTTTCCGGTAGGGAAACACCATTTATATATTGAGGACCGTAACGAGGTGTACCCTCGCCTCGGTGACCCCGTCTCCGAAGGGGATCTGCCCGCTCTCGATCCCTCTCAGCAGCCTCTTTCTTGACCATCACGGTCTCGCAGAAAGAGGTTACGGCCGCCCACGCTGTATCTCCACTCAGCATCGCCGACATGACTGCTGACAAAGAGAGGTTTCGTCCAATATGGGTTACCAGGACATTCCGCTCCGTCTCCCAAGCAGGGCACACAACAAGAGTATGCGTCGCGGAGTCCTCGTAACTTCCATCGCAGTGAAAGCAATTCGCCGTCACCTCACGTCCGATTTTACACAGATAATCACCAAAGCATCCGTGCCCAGTGATTATCTGTGTAAGTCTGTAGGTGAGCCTACCCTGCCGTCGCTGCATCCAGGCTTCGAAGACCGGAAGTATGGCTTCAATAACGCGTTTATGAGCGTATTGTTCCTGACTGAGCCGAGCACGCCAGATTAGGAAAGCGGAGTGCCGTTCCTGCCGCTTGATTGATCTCTTCTGGCTCGCTACGACCGCTCTGACGGAGGGCGCGAATCCGGTGGTACACCCTCGCGTCCATTTCCGCCAGTATGTCGAGTGGTGGAAAGCGAGCCAGGACAGTTGCCACCTCAAAGGATATTGTCCTGTACCCTCGTACGATCCGGATAGCTATCCGCCTCTGGACACTGTAGATCTTAGCCCTACAACGTCGGAGGGCAAGCCTTTTTGACCATACAGGTGCCCCATATAAGGCCACGGATCGTACAACCCCTGCATAGAGGCGGCGAACTTCTTCTTTTGGTCCCCCAAGATTAGGTAGTAGTCTGTGCATGGCACCCGCTACCCGCTCGATCCGGGGGACTAGGCGCTCGAAGTGTTCTTCGAAGCCCCAGCGACTATCTAGGATGAGGCCCAGGTACTTCATATACCGACCTACCCTGATTTCAGACCCACCCACACGGACACATGAGTTGGGTGGTTCCCTACCTCGTGGCATCTTATGGAACCACATCGCCTCCGTCTTATGTGGCGCTACTTCTAGTCCCAAATCGTGAATTTTGGCGACGACGACTTCCACCCCAAGCTCGGCGAGCTCCTTGTTCCTCTCAAAGGTGTCCCCGCATGCGACTATTAATGTGTCATCCGCGTAACAAACGATGCTCACATTAGTCGGCAGATCGACGCGTAGGACAGCATCATATGCCACGTTCCACAGTAGAGGACCGAGGACAGACCCCTGTGGAACTCCGCAGTGAATCTCCCTCCGGATCTTGTTGCCGTCTTTGTCCCTATATAAGATATACCTATCGCGCAAGTAGTCCTCGATAATGCCTTGCAGATAAGGGGGCACTTGATGGTAAGATAGCCCCCCAATGATGGCATTCCAGGGTAGAGAGTTAAAGGCATTGACAATGTCTAGACTTATCGCCAATGCCACGTCACCCTGGAAATCTGCCTGATCCGACAGGGAGCGGACGCGCATGGTCGCGTCTATCGTAGAACGCTTCTGTCTGAAACCAAACTGACTTTCTGACAGATCGGGACCGACACGCGATAGATGCCTATTGAGACGAGCAGCAAGAATTCTCTCAAACAATTTGCCAATCTCGTCCAACAGGCAAATGGGACGGTAAGCAGAGGGAGATTCTGCAGATCTGCCTTCCTTCTTCAAGAGGACCAACCTTGACTCTTTCCATGCTGTAGGGAACTTGGAACTACGGAGGCAACTAGTGAATAATTGCCTCACCCTGTCTCCCAGTGCAGTTAGGCTTAGCACCCAAACTCGACCTGGTATTCCATCTGGTCCTGGCGCATTGTTCCTAGCTCTTAAGCGGCTGATAGCTCGATCTAGCTCCTGGACAGTCACTCCCATCTCGTCTTGCCAATCCCACGAAAGAACGGGAGGGCCTAAGGGACCTGATCGGTCTGCTGGGAATAGCACATTGATCACTCGTCCCAACAGGTTCGGGTCTAAGGTTTCCGATAGAGGAGGCATCCAGGGCCTAAGCCTACCAAGAACCATCCTATAAGGACGCCCCCATGGATCTGTGTTGAGTCCCTCCAAGAGCTCAACCCATGCTCGAGTCTTGGCATTTGCGATTGCGAGATGCAATGCCTTCGTATCCGCTCGGTAAGCTATGTAGAGACTAGCTATCTCCTCAGCCGTTGCTCGCCTTCTTCTTCGGGCTCTGGTGTATTGGCGTCTGCTCCGCAGACAGACAGCGCGAAGTCGCGATATTTCCGCCGACCACCAATACACCGCCCTGCGCTTGGGGCTACTGGCCCGTGGCATTGACATATCGCATAGTTGAGCCATTGTTCCCCGAAACCAGGTTGCTTCTCTTTCCGGGTCGGACGAAACTCCTTCGGCATCTTTTGACCATGCAGCAACATTGGCGGCAGCTTCGAGCAGGTCTCGATTTAGCCGCTTGAGGCACCAACGACGCGGTGAGCTCCTATCATGGCAACTTGAAATAAAATTTGGGTGGCGGGGTGCGATGTCAAAAATAATGTGGCGATGGTCAGATAGCGTGACCATCTCCTCTGCAACCCGCCATCCCGATACCAATTGTGTCGCAGAGGGAGACGCCCATGTTAGGTCAACAATTGACTCCCCCTGCCACCGCACACAAGTACTGACGGATCCCCGATTCAGCAGTCGAAAGTCCAGTCCAGCCGCCCATTCTTTTATAGCCGCCCCTCTTGAATTGTTTCTGGGGTTGCCCCACTCCCTAGCGTGGGCATTGAAGTCCCCGAGAACAATTAACGGGTGAGGCGGGCAACTGCGAACACAGTCCGCTACCTCTTCCAGGTACAACTTGTAGTCGGCGAGTAACCCATTAGGAGTGACGTAGCAACCAACGATGACCAGGGTGCCCCAGTGCACTGCACCAAATCCCCGCCCTCTTTTCAATAGGGTGCAGGATGGGGAATCCATCCTTCCTTCCCAGTAGATAGCTACGGAGCCCGAGTCATCGCCCAACGTAGGGTTCCGCTATTACTGCTAGGGCAACCCTCCACTCCGTAATAGTCTGCATAAGCAGGTTTTGAGCATTACGGCAGTGGTTAAGGTTACCCTGGAGGACTTTTGATAGGTTCGTGTTGTTTTAAATGTCAGTGACCTCCATCACCGAGATTTCACCCGGTACTGCTTACTGCGGCTGTAGTCGCTGTAGTCACCATGTTGTTGGAAACGTGCGGAACGGTCTCCCCACGTATACCTTTTTTACTCTTTGATTTCAGCGGTTGGGCGCAATTCCTACCCAAACGGTGCCCAGAGGGACGCCCTAAGTCTGAGCAGAGTGGGCATTTTAGGACCGAAGCGGAACAATTCTTAACCGTATGGCCAGGTTCGCTGCAGGCGTAGCAGCGATTGCTACGGTCAACATTATTGGGGCACCGGCTTCCAACATGTCCTTCCTCAACAGCTGCTAGTTCTGAAGAACCAACAGAGTCATCGAGGTCTCTAAGCCGAACGTCGCTCGTCTTCACTGGGCGATTGACACGGACGTTCGACTCTGAGAGAACCTCTCGTAGCTTAGCCGCCAATTTATCTGCTTTCGGGCCACAGTCAATGCCGCTGATCTCCATTAGAATACCCCTGTAACGGCACGCTTTTGTCGGATAGCCTCGATTCCAAATTACTCTAGCCGAATTTTAGTTTTTGCGTCCTTCATTATGCTACCATAGGTAGCGGTGGAACCCTCCCGTAATGTAATTGTTACAGCCGCAGATGTTGGGGCACGGACTGGTTTCCGTCTAATCTTTGTGGGCCGTTCGTTGGGCACATAGTACTGCGGCGATTTTTGTATCGACTGGTGTACTTTTTGTTTTTTAGCCACATCTGCCCAAGAGTTTGTCACTGCAGATATAGAAGTTTGCGGCACAGGCTTCGCTACAGGAGGTAAATCTGCCACTGGTGGATATGTGGGCTTCTGCCGTTTCTTCTTCTTTTTATGTCTCTTCTTTTGCGACGGTGTTACTGCTGAAAGCGACTGAATTGACGTTGTTAGTTGCTTCGTTGCAACCGTCATGGACTTCACTCCCGCAGAGGTGGGCGAAGTGCCTTACTAGGCAACAACCGGGCTTCGAAAGCCGCCAATTTACTCTCAACAAACGCTCCAATGCGTTCCATTATTGCCTCCTCGCTACTACTGGGCGTTGGAGCATCTGCATTTGGTTTAGTGAGACTGACTCTTTCATGGGTCTGTTTACGGAGATAGTTAATTTCCTCCGTCAGCTTATCCGCTCTGTTGCTAAGGCTAGAGAGTGTTGAACGTAGTTCAGCATTTTCTCTCTCTAGTCTAGCAATATTCTCGTCCGTAGTGGCCCTTCTGGCAAGCTCTTCAGCTGCGGCTTTCACATTCCGCACGGCTAGCCTTAAGCTCTGAGCGAAGCTTCCCTTTAAATTGCGGGATCGATTCGCTACCTCCTCGATGGCTTTAAGCTGACGGTCAATGTGGTCTTCAATTATACTGTCAGCCTGAGACCGCAGCTCTAAAGTCAGCTGCTCTGTACTAGGCAGAATTGTTTTTTGCCCTAGACTTCGATGATGCCACTGAGAGGTCGGCGAAGTCCTCTTCCGTGTCGACCTCAGTAGCCATATCCTCCACTTCAGTAGGGGTTGCCGAGGCAGAGGCTGCTACCGCCTTGTATTTAGCGGCCACCGATTTAACACTTGGAGCCTTTGCCTTTCTTTTTCGCGTATCTTCTGAAGCAATTGATACGAGTGACAGCTGTGAACCATCAGACTCAGCTTCTTTTGGTTCTCTAGAATGAGCTATGCGTCCCCGCCTACCCCGCCTTCCCCTTGAGTATCGTGCCGAGTTAGTAGATTCTCCCAGCACGGCTCCCTCCTTACAGTGTTGGTCCCTGGATGTTAGGCAACCCGCGGACGATGTATCGCCGCAAAACAGTGTGTTGCCCCCCCCCCAGATACGATGGGGCTGCCTAGGCTAGGCCTAGGGGTGGATTCTCCGGCATTGCCGGTACCACCCTGGGGTATTAGTATGTTACCCACTGTTTCCATGTTTCCTTTTATACAAGGGTTTGGTCCCTGAATTTCCCCCCCTTCCCCCTGAGCGCTTGGCACTGGAATACCACCAGAGATTCACCCCATCGGCACGCTCGACCTTAGGGTTGTGAGATTTTTTATAGAGGTTTCCTTCCTCATGGTCATTCATGGCCCCCGCTCTCGAAGGTTTACGGGTGGGGCGGTGTCGGTAATAACCGAAATGCGCGTAGCATATCACCGCAGATGTCACGTCCGCTGTTCTTTGCAAAGGAAAGAAACATGGAGTGACATAGAGCCTCGAAGGCCCTCCTTGAAGGCAATCCTTCTCAGGATTCCCTCTTGGCCGTTTCTCGAATCTTAAAAGATTCGAGGGTACGCCCCAAACCCAGCCAGTTTTGGTCCACGACGGTTTTTCGCTACCACTCATATCTGGGTGGCATTTCCCTATCCGCCACCTGGGGACGCGCCCGATGGGAGATCTGGCAACTCCACACGGGAGTTAACTTGGTGCTAAATTGATACAGTTCCTAAAAAACTTGTTCGTCTAGACGGGGACGCATAAAACTGTCTCGGGCTCTGATTGGTTTGCTGGAATTTTTCCACGTAATAATAAAATATATTTGTATCAACTTTTACTCGCGTCTGTCTATATTTTAAGAATTAATAGTGAATTAGTAATATAAGAACTAACAATTAATAAAAGTTGATAGAGAAAATATGGAGTAAAATAATGAATGAATGAAGAGTTGAATATTACATTTTCGAGTTTTTTTATCTCAATAAAGAAAATAGAATATGTTTATATGAGCTGTCAACGTGTTAATTATAATATACGCCGATAAAAATAGCATGCAGACCAGCCGATTCTACTAAAATGCGCCAATAGATGTTTCTCATAAAAAAGTTTAACTATTGAGGCTAAACTTCGCTATTTTAAAATATATTAATAAGACTTAATTTATCAACTTTAACTTTTTTTTATTTTCTCTTTAATTTATGGTTTCATAAAGCACTAATCATCATGAAATTTGTTCACTTGCGCGAGTCAGCTGTAAACTTACTCATTAGATTCCATTGACACTTACATCAATTTATGATCATTTAATAAAATAAAATCATACGTCATCTTGTTATAGAACTAATTGCCTCTATGTCTCCTAGAACTTCACAGCTGTTTAAAATAAACGGCTATGTTTAAATTAACATTAAAAAAGAAACAACATTTATTAATACTTGTACGGGCTGATTAAGATAACTGATGCACAATTGGCACATTACGGATTACACATTCCACTAACAGTAAGATAATCCATTAAATAGACATTTAACAGTTTTGGGGCTAATTTCGCCGGAGACAGTGCGACAAGGCTTACAATAACAACATTGTTTGAACAACGACTATTTGTTCAACAGTCTATATTTAATGAAGACGATTCGTGTCGGGAATTCGATAAGAGTCCGAGAATAAACCGCGCCCCATTATGCATTGTTCCGTCAGAGTATCAAGGTCGCGATGAGATCGACGCCAGCAGTCTAGACCACCGGTCGAGGGGGTACGGCTGGCAAAAAAGTCTACAGAAAAACAACAACCGGTCGCAGACGGAGACTATTTATTGACTATTTATAGTTTCTAAATATTTATTTTTAACTCGTATTTCGGGTGTACTCTATAAAGATCTTCGTATAATACGACCTCGATTTAATTACTATTTTTACAGTGGTATAGTAGATATGTATAAAATGGGTGTTGTCTGGGCTCCGGGTGGGTGTGACGTAGCTCTGACGTCACGGCAGTTTTACTTTATGTTTCACCAACAATTCGAAAATCACCAAGGATTTGGCCACCGACCCTTATAATGAAAAGTAATGATGTGCGAATCTTTAGATACTAACACGCTTAGAAAAATATACTCTTGCCTTGAAGAAAGAATAGAAAGATTCAGGTGGTTTTTATAACGGCAAGAAATACCGTCTATATAAAAATCTTCACTTACAGCCCTGGTGGAGGAAATGACACGTTGAAATGAAGTTACTTAACTGTGTAAAATTCAACATACAGTGTTAACAAAATACGCATGTGCTATAGGTTCATTATTGTAGGGACTCGCAGCAGCCTCGATGGCTGTTGCACGAATGGGCAGGCCCGTCCGGGTAAGTACCACGACCTCACAGAAGACCAGCGTAAAGTGGAAGTATGACAAATACTTTCGCGTTTCGTCTGGTGAGTGAGGTAGCCGGAGCCCAATTTTCAAAAGGTTGTCAACGCATCTGTAACCCTCGGGTGTAGCAGATGCCCATGGACGGCGGTATTCACTTACCATCAGGTGAACCGTCTGCTGGTTTGGCAACTTTTAACATAAAAAAAACAGTCTTCTCTGTTAAACAAGTGGGTAGGTCCACCACGACAGTTTTGTGAATACCGGCGATATGTGGAAGTATATACTTTTGCGCTTCTTCTGATGAGTGAGGTAGCCGGACCGCACTTTAATCATTTAACATCAGGTGAACCGCTAGCTGGTTGGCCACCTTCTCGCATAAAAACAAACTATGCGTACACGTGTACATGTCAAAATATATACTTTAATCTCTTTGACGGAATGTATCAACTATAAATAGGTAAATAGAGTAATTCCAGTTAGTTACTATTGACTTGGATGTCAGATTTGGGACCTTTGACCATTTAATTATTGTTATGTCTTACAGGTATGCACTTCTTATATTGTTGTATATACTGATATTTATTTGTGCGATTTAATTTGATTCAGCAACCTGATTTCAAATCGCGGTGCCAGCATTAAGGAAATTGTAAATTTTTTGACGTATCACGTGCTCAGGGGTGAGGGAAATATCGTAAAGAACCTGCATTTTTCGAAATAATAAAAAAAATATTTCGAAGATATGTGAAGTCTGCCAATCCGCAGTTGGATCGCGTGGTGGATTATGTCCTATTACCGTCTGTAGTGGAACATACATAGGCTTTCATTTAATTTTATTTTACTTTTATCTAAACATTTTAACCTCATTGAAAATTTAAACATCTAAAATACTTTTTTATGAATATATCAATTACGTTTAAGTTTTGAATCCATACGTTCTATATGTTCTGCTAGTCTTTATACTGATATGATAATATGAAAATAACATTTATCTTTGCTAACTGTACGATAAAAGAACTGGAACGGGTCGGCCGAGCTCCCAGACCACACGTGGTTTAAATTGAACGAACACTCGGCCGTTATTTCAAATCCAACTAGCTTCTCATTGGTCGAATTTGAACGCGACGGTAACGGCTTTTACATCCTTATTGGTATTGAGAGAATCGAATGTTGCATACTTTTAATTTACTTATCAAAAATATTAAAAACGTAAATATAACGTAATTAAAAACACAACGAAAATCTCAAATGTTCGTGTTGCTCCGACGGACTTTCTGAAAGCTATGCAAATTGAAGTTTTCAAAATTTTTCTATGTTATGTTTTGTTTATGTGAAAAGTTGGCAAGCCACCAGGCGATTCACTTGATGTTGAATGAATACCCCCGTTTATGGACATCAACAACATCCGATGGCTTGTTGATGCGTTGATAACCTTTAAAAATGTGGGCCCCGGCTACCTCGACCACCAGACGAAACGCGAAAGTTTAATACTTACATTTCAAGCTGGTCTTCTATGAGCTCGTGGTACTTCCCCGGACGAGTCTGCCCATTCGTGCAACAACAGAAGCTGTTGCGTTGCCCTACGACTTTACATACATGTTATTTTTAGGTCCTGTACACACGGCTTAAATCCGACAACGCCTTATAAAAAAAAAAAAAAACGAATTGTGAATCAAAACCATTCTCGAATCGACTTGAAGACACACAAAAAATTTCATTAAAATCGGTCCAGCCGTTTAGGACGAGTTCAGTGGCATACACACGCACAGAAGAATTATATTAATTTACTCTTATATACTATAAAAAGATGATAATTTGGGCAAAGATTTTTTCTAACGATTTCTTCGCCATTAAGTGTTCGATTCTTAAACATTTGTCATTTTATACAAGGGAAGACCTCGCGACTTACATTCTGATGACGCACAATAAATTCCGTATCACCAAATTGCAGACGTCTTGTACGCACTTTTGGAGGGCGGACGTCACAATAGCGTCACGAACGAGGCGAGAAATACCGGTCTTGGAATTTAAAAATGGAACGATAACTAAGTAAAGTACACGTAATCAGGTTAGAGTTATAAATAACTGTTGCTCGCTCACGTTGCGGTGTCTCATTAAAACGTGTTGTTTATATTCTAAACAAATCATTCGACTGTCTGAAACCTGACTTATTTATTCGTATTGTGAAATATGCAAGTCATCGACGATCGTGTCCAGTTGGTTGTTGCGAAGATACTGAAGATATATTGGCTTTCTTTTTATCCACTAACGTCATCATCATCAGACTACTGTTTGGCATACGACTAACCCAACGCACGGTGCTCTTCGCCTTCGACTTAACGCGTCCAGTTGCTGTCGACGGTCTTCTGCAGATCGTCACTCCATTTGAACAGAGCTCCTTTCTTGGAGTTAGCTGGAGTCTGTCTCATTTCGACAACCTGTGGTCACTTCGTAACCAAAACCGTGACTGTCTCATAACACTACAAGCAATATACTGGAGAAACGATGCATGCCTGTCACTTTAGAGCTGATGGTTAATTTGTTTTACTTCTTATAATTCATCAGATATTGTAGTGAAAAGTTCATTAATTTGGCATTCATCATTAACATTCAATAGATTGTGTTATATATGCGTAAGATTTATATTTTACTGCGGCGGGGCAACGCAGCAGCTTCTGCTATTGTACGAATGGACTCGTTTGTCCAGAACAGAACCAAGATTTCACAGAAGTATATACATACTGCTATCAGTACCCAGCAATACATGAGCAGAATCTCTGAGTGCCCATTGACGGCTGTTCTCAATGAGAGTCCCCCTCCCCCTTGTGAACAACTCTTCATTTGCCACTAATTAAAAAACAATGATAACTCGGGAAGGCCAGCTAGTGTAAAATATAATTAAAGTACATTCTCACCGGTCCAAAAATCAGAGTAAATCGTATAGGTGTGACTATAATGCAAAAAAGTCCATTGGCCACAGTAAATAACGTATTTAATAAGACTTAGATA